TTTAAACTTATGGCTGCTGGCATTTCTGGTGTCCTGATAGTTTTAAATTTCATTCTGAGGGAAAGATACAATTAGGTCCCCTCGGAAGAGTTAAGTGAGTGCTTTTGTCATTGATAGCACAGGAAATAGTTTTGAAAGGAGCAATGCAAAAATGAAAATAGCCATTAGCTCTATCAGAAGCAGTTGAATGGCCCTGGGTACCTGCAGCAATGGGCTAATGACAAGACATTTTGATAGTCCATATCCAATGGCAGGTGTCTCGAGAGCTGACATTCCCTCCCTCATGAGCTTCCACAGAACTCAAGGAGAAAAAACGTACGGCCTTCAGAAGCCTTCACTAGACCCATTTGTCTTCAGAGGTGGAGCCCAGAACTTCCAGCACCGTGGTGAGAAATGTTGGGGTGGCTGAAGCTCACATGCCAGTCGGGTTCTTCATCAATCAACCATGACATTGAATGCCATCGGTGCACCTCACTGTGACCCAGGCTAGGCCAGGACCAGGTAGAACGTTATGATGGTCTCTGCGACATCTAACTGCCACCTCCAGTGAGGACAGTTGCCTGCCTTTGCTAAATTTAGATAATTGCGTATTCATTGATTCCTTCCATCAGCCAACCAAGGCTTAATGGTTTACATCTACCTATGCTTAGGGTTGGGGCCACAAGTTGTAGGTCAAGCACAAGCCATTTTCATTGTTGAGGAGTTATTTCGTTTGTACATTTGTGGTGCTGGGGATTGAAGGCCTTATTCATGGGCCGCAAGCATTCTACCTCTGGGCTACGTCTTCCACTGGTTTGCATCGTTTGATTGTACTTTTGAGTTTCCTGCCCACGTGACAGCATTGGTTGTAGTCATCAGAGGCTCACACTGCTCAGTTGCCTGAAGGCCTGGGCCATGGTGTGTACTCTGTTATCCCAAGACTTCTTGATGTGGGCCCCTCAGCTCCTGCAGCATGAATGCTGAGTTCCTAGCCAGGCTGCTGGAAGATGCAGTGAGCACATGGGCTAAAATGTTCCTTGGGAACTGGCTGTTGAAGTTCAGAATCGTGCATGGACATGTACGAGTGCCTTGCTTTGTCAGGACCTAGCCATAGGGCGGGGGGACGGGTCATAGTCGGACACTTGCTGTGTGTCCTATGAGGAAGCAGTATGATCCCCACAGGAAGGCATTCTGTTCATGTGTTCCCTGGAAGGTTAGGGAAAGGAGTAATTACACTCTCTGTAAGAATGGTGGAGCGCTCACGGGCAGCCCACCTCCTCCAGTCCTGTGAGCGCCTACAGCAGCAGCTGGATCCAATCCTTTAATAGTAGGATAAATGACCCTCGGTTTCCCACGGCATGCGTTTCTGTGAGTTGCTGGAGTGCCACCATTGAAGAGTCCCTGCCTGACTCTCTACAGTCACATTTGATGTCTGTGCTTGTATGCTTGAGTACATGATTGTGTGTACACACACACACACACACACACACACATACAGCCAGCACACTTCTCTAATCTTGAACATAGTCCTTGTAGATACTTTCTCATCCCTTCCCTGTGATGGTCCTTGGCCCACAAGGCAGGTACATTAGAAGGTTTATGACCAGTATTTGCTGAATGGTTGAGGTGAGGCCTAAATGAATTGCGGATTGCTAAGTGTGGAGAAGTTGGGGCTGGCCCAGGTTTTGTGAGGCCCAGGCCCGGGCCCAAGGCCAGCTTGTCCTGTCTCGGCTGCTTTGGCCCAGAGACAGAACATCAATTACTTCACACTCTTTCCAAGAACTCACATTCCCCTTTCTTGCTTTGAGTGGAGCAGCAGGCAGTGGTTTGGGATGGCACACAGCAGAAGCCTGGGTCCACCGGCTAATGGAAAGCCGAGGATTCGGAGATATATCTGGCACTGCGCTGCAGTGCAGTGGCAGGTTCATCTAAGGGTCCTGCATCCTAGGAGCGTCTTCTGGGCCATGGCTGGTGCTTCTGAATACACAGGCTCTGTGGTGGTTAGGTCCTGAGGGGAGAGGTCATTATCTGTCCCTTAATGTCCAGAGAAGGGCCAGCGAAGGTGTCCAAAGACTGTGTGATCCCCATGGGCACCTCGATGGAGAGACATGGTGATGAGTTTAACCCTCTCTGTTGCTTTTAGACCTTCAGTTTCTGAACTCTAAGTGTTCTTAAACTTGTGAAAAGCTGAGGTTGAAACGAAGGTGAGTCTCCCTCGGGGCCTGGCTGCTCCCATAGCCAGTGTTTCTAGGATCTATTCGTTCTTGCCCATTGTTGGGGACACAGAACCCAAGATAAGTCAGCTGAGCTCTAGGGTTCGCTTCATGGCATCTGCCCTCAGAGAAGCGGTGGCATGGTGGCATGCTGGCCTATTCAGAAGGACCCCAATCAAGGGAGTTAGAGGAAGAAATAGAACAGAGCTGAGGACCAGTCTCCATCAAAGTGGATACAAAGGGCCCTGGGAGCTCAGACCTAGTCAACTCTGATGAACTGGGGAAGCACATTCTAATGCTACATCCCTCCCGCCACTAAAACATTAGCACTGGTATCAGAAAAAAAAAGTGTTGATTTAAACGAACAAACAACAACAACCAATCTTGTCTTTTGTGCAGAGTAAAAGAATCCCATACTCAAGTTGCTGGCAGGTGAAGGCACTCCTTGTCCAACTGCATGGTAGCCTTGTTGTTTACACTCCCAACCTCCTCCCCCATCTCTCCTGAACTGGCACCTGGCCTCAGTGACCTGAAAATAACACATCGTTCTGGATTCACATCTGCTGAGCTGGCCAACTGGGTAGCCCCTGGGAATTAGGCCAGTCGTGTTGGCTTTGATGCCCCAGAGCTGCAGGGTGGAATTCTGTGCACTGTCATGCGGCTCCAGGGACATGATCCATATTTACTCAAGACGGGAGCCAGCATGGCTTGATGGGGCTCGAACGTGCTGAAGGACTCCAGACTAGGCCCTGGAGGTCACTCATGCCTACAGCTGCTACACTGTGGGAGTGCCCCTCCCTGATTGCCAGTGGATGCCGTGACTCCTGGAACCCAACATTCATACCCATCAGGATATCTTCCGTGAGTGATGGAGTCTGGCGCACAGTGAGAGTTCATTGGTTTGTTGAGTGAGTTCTAGGATCTCCATGACAAGCTAGTCTTCAGAATTGAAGGTGTCAAGCTGGAAGCTGCTTTTGCTGTGAGTGAACATGTGTGTGTGCCTCTGTGAGTGTATGTAAGCATGTGCGGAGGAGTTGGCCGTGCCATCACTCAAGGGCTACACTGGACTGAAGTCCCTCCTGACACTAAGCACCCCGTGTCTTTACTCATGTCAAGGCAGTCAGTCTCCCATTGGAGACCGCCATCCCATACACTGTCTAGTCTATTTGGGAGGCCACCCAGCCAACAGCACACTTAGCTGGGGCAGAATGTACTTGCCTCATAGTTGAGCTCCGGCCCCATAAGTCCCCCAGGGGAAGTTGGTTAGCCCCACAGTTTTGGCTGGGGTTAAAGATAAGACCCCAGTACCATCTAGCTGGCCAACACATTGAAATACAAAGAGGAGATCTGCAGAAGCCTATCTAAAAGCAGGAAGTGAATCTGGACTCCTTCATGGGGAAGGCATATCTGGAAATAGAAGGACGCCAGACATGGGTTCTTTGCTATCCAGGCTAAGCACACCCTGCATGCTCTGATATGGAGGAGAGCCTGCCCTCTGACCCACCTGGAACAGTCTGGCATTTGCTGTTCTACACAGGCTGTGGAGGGGCAGAGGAGACTATTAAAGACAATTACACAGACTAGCTTCGAGTGTTTGTGTTTAACAAACAGCTTTGAGTTCTAATTTTCTGCAAAACACATACTGCAGGTACAATTTGTACTCATTACTGTATATTGGGAAAGTTATTAAAAACACTCAAACTTGGTTGAGACTTCCTATGGCATCGTCCCTGGATTTTAATTGGTTTTTATCTAGTTCTGCAAAAGATCTCTTTAAGGCCAATCAAAGTCCCTGGCTCTGCTGTCTTGCCAGCCAAGGGACAGGGAGAAAGCATCATACGGCGCATGTCTACCTCCATGCAAACACCAACAGCCTCACATGCCCACCAAGATTCTATCAGGAGATCCTGTTTGGGATGGACACAGTTACCAGATGACAAAAAAAATCAGTGTTTCGTAAAATAAGGGTTAAATCTTAATCTCTGAGGTTTGCAAAGCTGCTACTAGCAGTCTCCTTAAAATTTAATATACCTCGTTAATGCTTCCTTGCAAACACTGAAGGATTTTTATGATTATAATCATGTGTTACAGCACCTAGTACTGTTTCTAAGCAGCATACTAATCAGCTTAATGAGATATTACTGCACTTTTTGTTGACTAAAGCAAAATCTCTTTTATTGTTCTAAAGCCTGTCCTTTACTTTATTTTTTCCCAAAACATTATCTTGTTTTATTATGTACCAGTAAATATCATGCTATTGGTGCTATTTTTTTTCCTCTGGCCAAATCATAAAATGATCTCTTTCGTCTTAGACTGGTGGGTATACTGAATATAGTAGGGTATACTGAATATAGTAAACAGGAAAGGAAGTGCCCCGTGGTCTTTCGATGAAAGCCACTCCGCTCTAAGGCAAACTTTGGGCTGAACCAACAGGTAGGGGCACTTTGCGAAGGGAAAGGAGGATCTGTTGAACACGCAGAGCCTCGGCATGTTATTAGGTGTTAAAAAACGGTAAAATGTTAATAATTGAAATGTGAATGAATAATTGCGGTCTGTAAATAGGAAACACAAGGAAGACGATCCATTCCCAAAACAAATTGGAGGACACTGCCATATTGCGTAATTGGCATTTAATAATTCATCTTTTTATTATTGTTTTTGACTGTAACTCCTTAGCATTACCATGGGTGGATACGTTTGTGAAATGCAAGCGCCCTTCCCCCCGGCCCCAACCCATGCCCAACTGATGCTATTGCTTCTTCCTGCCGCGGTACCTGGCACAGATCTGAACCCTGTTTCTGTTTCTAGGGATGGAAGAAGCGAGTCTGTGCCTTGGAGTGTCCTCGACGGCACCGGAAGCTGAGCCTCACCTGAGCGGCCCGGTCCTCAATGGCCAGTATGCCATGAGCCAGAAGTTGCACCAGATCACTTCCCAGCTCAGCCATGCCTTCCCTGAACTGCACCCGCGGCCCAACCCAGAGGAGAAGCAACCTGCAGCCCTTGAGGAAAAGGCCCACGTACCCATGAGCGGGCAGCCCATGGGCAGCCAAATGGCGTTGCTGGCCAATCAGCTGGGCCGTGATGTGGACAGCAGTCTCAATGGGCGTGTGGACCTTCAGCAGTTCCTAAATGGGCAGAACTTGGGCATCATGTCTCAGATGAGTGACATTGAGGACGACGCCCGGAAGAACCGGAAGTACCCGTGTCCCCTGTGCGGCAAGCGCTTCCGGTTCAACAGCATCCTCTCCCTGCACATGCGCACTCACACCGGCGAGAAGCCATTCAAGTGCCCCTACTGCGACCACCGAGCAGCCCAAAAAGGGAACCTCAAGATCCACCTGCGGACCCACAAGCTGGGCAACCTGGGGAAGGGGCGTGGGCGGGTGCGTGAGGAGAACCGTCTGCTGCACGAGTTAGAGGAGAGGGCCATTCTGCGGGACAAGCAGATGAAGGGCAGCCTGCTGCAACCGAGGTCTGACCTCAAGCCCTTGGCACATGCCCAGCAGGCTCCACTGGCCACCTGCAACTTAGCCTTGCCCCCCAACCACAGTGTGCCCGACGTAGCCCACCCAGCACCTTCTCCCAAGCCGGCCAGTCTGCAGGAGGATTCGGTGACCCCGGCTGCGGGCTTCAGATGCACCTTCTGCAAAGGCAAGTTCAAGAAGCGCGAGGAGCTGGACCGCCACATTCGCATTTTGCATAAGCCCTACAAGTGCACCTTGTGCGACTTCGCAGCCTCGCAGGAGGAGGAGCTAATCAGCCACGTGGAGAAGGCGCACATCACGGCCGAGTCGGCCCAGGGCCAGGGCCCCAACGGCGGTGGAGAGCAGTCGGCCAACGAGTTCCGCTGCGAGGTTTGCGGCCAGGTGTTCAGCCAGGCCTGGTTCCTGAAGGGCCACATGCGCAAGCACAAGGATTCCTTCGAGCACTGCTGCCAGATCTGCGGTCGGCGCTTCAAAGAGCCTTGGTTCCTGAAGAATCACATGAAGGTCCACCTCAACAAGCTGTCGGTGAAGAACAAGTCCCCCACCGAGCCGGAGGTGTCGGTGCCTATGGGTGGCCTATCCCAGGAGGCCCATGCCAACCTGTACTCCAGGTACCTCTCCTGCCTGCAGAGTGGCTTTATGACCCCGGACAAAGCCAGCCTGAGCGAGCCCACCCAGCTCTACGGCAAAGGGGAGCTCCCGGCCAAGGAGAAAGAGGTTCTGGGAAAGCTACTGTCACCCATTTCCAGTATGGCTCACAGTGTCCCGGAGGGAGACAAGCACTCCCTGCTGGGCTGCCTCAACCTCGTGCCACCGCTGAAATCCAGCTGCATCGAGCGGTTGCAGGCAGCTGCCAAGGCTGCAGAAATGGACCCAGTGAACAGCTATCAGGCCTGGCAGCTCATGGCCAGGGGCATGGCCATGGAACATGGCTTCTTATCTAAAGAGCATCAGCTCACGCGCAACCACGAAGACACTTTGGCAAATGCCGGGGTTCTGTTTGATAAGGAGAAGCGGGAGTACGTGTTAGTGGGAACAGATGGCTCCAAGCAGAAAATGCCTGCTGATTTGGTTCACAGCACTAAAGTGGGCAATCAGAGAGACCTGCCAAATAAGCTCGACCCTCTAGAAGGCAGTCGGGAATTTTTGCCACATGGGCTCAACCAGACGCTCGAATACAACCTACAGGGTCCTGGGAACATGAAGGAGAAGCCCACCGAATGCCCGGACTGCGGGCGGGTGTTCCGCACCTACCACCAGGTGGTCGTGCATTCTCGTGTTCACAAGCGGGACCGCAAGAGTGACGAGGACGCTCTCCACGTGGGCGTGGGCCTGGAGGAACGGCGCGGCTCGGGCAGCGACCAGGAGTCGCAGTCGGTGAGCCGTTCCACCACACCCGGTTCCTCTAATGTGACTGAGGAGAGCGGGGCTGGAGGCGGCCTGTCTCAGACCGGGAGCGCCCAGGAGGACAGTCCACACCCTTCTTCGCCTTCTTCCTCAGGTAGGTTGGTAGGAAGAAAGGGGACAGATCCTGCCCCCTGCCGGGACCTGCTTGGTCCTGCATTATTTAACCTTGGGCCTCAGGATGGTTCTGAGGTTGGTGCAGCTGAACCACAAAAGGCGGTAGGCTGGAAGCTGGACGTCTTGTGTGTCAGGTTCCTTCACGGGTGATGCCCTGCTCCAGACTCGGGACTGTCCTTTCAGAAAACCTTGAACCATGGCTACCAGCAAAAGGCAGCTGAGCCTCCTTCCCAGTGGTGGAGATGGTGGCATGCTTTTGGATGGGGCCCAGTTTGCCCTCCCCCTGTGGCTGTTCGGTTCCATTCGTGGTATAACCTGGCTCCTAGCTTTGTCTCTGGAAGCCAGGAGTTCAGGCTTGGCACATGTGAAATGTGGAAGGGTCTCCATTGCCTCCCCTCAACTGTATCCGCACAAGACTTTCATTTGGGAGTTCCCTCCCGGCCTCTCTCCCCGGGCAGAAGCTACCTCTTGCACCCTTCTGACACTGCACCCCAGCTCACCTGCCACCCCCACCCCCACCCCGCCCCCCAGAGCCACACTGCTTTCCTCTCATGGTTTTTAGTCAAGCTCAGAGGTTTGAAAACACAGATGCGTGGCTGTATGTCTTCAGCTGTACTGTGTTGCATGGGCGATACAGTTCTGGGATCTAAAATAGCAAAGCAGAAAAAAAAATCTGTCATCAAAAATGTCTGTGAAATGCTGAAGCATCCTGGCCCTGTTTGAGGGGGGGAGAAAGAGAAGGAAAAGTCTAAGATGGCTAAATTAAAATCGCTACCTAACAGCAGGTAAGAGGCTGCCTTCATCCATATTTCCCAAGTCCCTTACTAATGGATAGTAAATTGAAAGTTATATCTCCAGCCCTTTATAAAGAAAGTACCTCGCTAATACTGTAATCATTCTACTGCCTAACAACAGAGGAAATCATGCCATAACAAATACCCTGTTACTAATGGCAACATTGATTTCTGCAATCAGCCATTAAGTCTAGAAAATGAAAGACAGTTTGAGGCACCTCTAGGCACCGCATTGCCCACTGTTAAAGATGTGGCAGTGCGCCGCCGAGGGTCATTTTTTAAAAGTTTTTTTTTCTTCTCTCTGTTTGCATGTGTGCGTGCATATGTGTGTGTGTGTGTATGTGTGTGCACGCACGCGCGTGTTCTCTGTTGGCTGTTATTTCTATCACAGAGATGATTCACTGCTGTAGTTACTAACTAGATGCCGGTACATTTGGTTATTATTCTCTCTTCAGCTTCCCTTTCTTCTAGAACAAAACTCATGCGAGAATAAAGTGTGTGTGTGTGTGTCTGTGTGTCTGTGTGTGTGTGTGAGCTTATTACAAGCCAGTCTTACACATAAATCTGAACTACACATTCCAGAGATTCCGATAGCACTTAATGCTGCTGCTTAAATACCCATGAAACACACTGTCTGCTCGTGGAGTCCTGGACTCGCTGGCGATTTATTGCTGACAAGATGCTTCGGGAGAGTCTAACAAGGATGTGAGGACCATGGGAGAGGATGAGGTCACACTGCGTGGAGTGGCCTTGCACGAAAGGGAAGTTGAGACGCTTTCCTTCCTGCCAGTGGGAGCTCTGGCAGGATGGGTCCCCACATGGGGGTGGTGAGCTCTAGGCTTCCCTCAGCTGTCTCCAGGGACCCTTTCCAACCTCTTGGAAATGTGTTCCTCTCTGTTCTGAGGTTGGGGACCTACCCGGGGCAGAGAGGTCAGGAAGCAGACTGGACTCCCTAAGTTTTTGGAGTGACATGGTTTTCACACCGACAGATTCCATGCCCTCTCCCAGACCTGCTGAAACAAGAGGGTCTTAGCATGATATTCCAGTGCCAAATGTTCGGCTTTATTAATGACATGTTTACCATGTTTTTATCACCTTCTGGCCAAGTGATAGCCAGCTGCTTGCTGGTTCCCATTTCTAAATACTCCATTGGAAGAAAAAAAAACGCACACCAAAAAAAAAATCCAGATTTATTTATTTATATGTTGCTTAAGAGAAGCATTGAGCTGGCATTAGCTCTCCACCTTATTTTCCCCGTTGAAGGATTTTACAATTGTGAACACTGATTCTTTCATTTGGGGTTTGACTTCTTTGTTTTCTTCATATTCAAATCAGACCCTTTCATAATTTTCTGACTTAAGTAGGGAAATGGATGGCATACCCACTCTGAAGCCCAAGTCAGCTGCATGTCTGAGGGCATTCAGGTTTTCCAAGGATTTAGGATTCTCGACCAAATCTGGTTTATTCCCCCCTCTTCGTTCTAACAAGTGTGACTTGTATAAAGTGTGATTCAAAGATGCATTTAAATAAAACACTTGACACAATAGGTATTTTTTATTGTTACCTGTTAGAAACCTGCAAGGTGAAGGGGAGGAAAAAATGTAAGCCCTTAAGTAAAGAAAAAAGTACTTATTAAGGCTTCTATTAAGAAATAACTGCAAAACACGGTCTTACAAATTTCTCAGACCGCATAACAATGTCACAAAACTTCATTTGCATGGCTTGATTCTTTTTTTTGTTGAAAACTGGGTCAGTAGGGCCTGAGAAACTATTTTTTCAGATCTTAACCAATGAATTCTTCTTTATAAATCGCTGCTCTTAACATGATAGTAGTTTTGAATTCATCATAAAAAAACCTTTTTAGCAGAGCCTCTTAGAATAGATCTCTAGAAGAAGGCTTACAATGAGTGGCAGAGACGTCCTTTGTTATCTGATGTAATTCTTTGCAAAGGAGGATTGGGAACCGAGTGGCTGTTTAAAAATGTCTTGCTCAGACCGAGACGAAGAAGGGGTCAAGTTTGCAATCAAACAGTTATTGCCGAGATGGGCGACTGTCACTGGCTAGGCTAATGTGGGATGCAGCTGTTTGTTATGTGAGCAAAAGAATGTTTGAATCAGTGAACATGTGAAAATGATTCCAGTGAACCAGAAAATGTGTTTGTTCTTTTGCCTCTCCAAACTGCTGAGAACCAAGCTTAAGATCAACCGCAAAAACTAGGACCTTTGACAGACGGAGAGGTCATATTTTCTAACAGAAAAGCGACAGAACTTGCCACGGATCACCACCCCATATCCCTTTGTTGTTTGTTTGTTTATTTTTTGACTCATTTATAATTTCACACCATAGTGCATGTCGTTTGCTTCCGCGTGCATTGCAAAGCGAAACTATTTGGAGAGCATCAGCTTATAAATTTTACTCTTTAATGACATTTAGAGAGTGGGGTGGCCGTCCCGATGCCTTCTCGTTTTTTCTGGCTCTCGTGCAAAGGTTCTGATGACATTAATCTCCGTATCTTTCCCGAAAATCTCCCCTCAAACCACCGATGGATGTATCCTAGCTTTTGCTCTGAGTCAGAAAACAGCTGAAGTCCTGTTTCTTCAGATTTTGCTTTGGAAATCATGCTTAGTATAATTAAAACTTAATGTACTAAGAAACAATACTGTTCATTATATCCAACAGGGCAGTTACCTTCTGAATCCCCCATCATTTTGGAGTGGGGATAATTGAAGTGTTGATGGTGGGAAGGGGGTAATTGAATGCATTGACCCTCCGTTCATTAAATAAAGTCAGGAAAGTTGCATGATCAATGGAAGCCAGGGAGAGAGAGAGATGCAAAGACGGAAATACCGTTAACCCCTACTTCTTCTGCTGTAATATTTTGAGTTGGACAAGGATTATTTGATCAGCTGGGCTAAAAGCCTTGGGGGTCGGTCAGCTTTTGTTGCTAGAATGCATTCCTGAGATGCTGGGTCCCCCATCCCGCCTGGGCCCATTGACCACTACATCAGAGGCCTTTACCCACACCCCCTGCAAGCCACTGCTGATAGTGAGATGATAGATTTTCTTCCTTTCCCATCTTTTTTTTTCTCTTGTGATTCACCCTCCCTGCCCCCATTCACGATAACCACCGCCTGTTCCACACAAACAAATCCAAGCCCTCAAAAGATGATTTGAAAAACACAAAGAAAAGAAAAAAAAACATAGAAATCTGAGGATTAAGATCTCCTTTTTTCCCTTTACTTTTCTTTCTTTCTTTTTTCTTTTTCTTTCTTTCTTTTTCTTTTTTTTTTTTTTTTTGCTTGTGCATTCCAATTGTTCTTAAAATATTTGGCAATGTCAATTAGTAACTGAGCAGAGTTAGCTGATGAACACAATTTTCCAGTAGACTGAGCACCCTATTGTTGCCGAGCGAACAGCAGATTTCTGAGGTCATTATCATTCGCTGGTTGCTTGGCCCAGCTGCTTCCTGCTGCAAAAGCCAAACTTTATACTGGAGCTCGGGGATGGCTGCAGCAACAGGGGGCTGGGAGGGGGAGAGGGGAGCTGGCTGCAGAGCTGAAGACAGTCATTATTATCAGCAGAGGAAACAGAAAGCAAAAGTTTTCAGGCTATTCCCTAGTAGGGGGCCCTGCACCCTGCCTCTTTGTCACAACCTTCCACCTCCAGGAGCCTTAAAGGTTGGGAGGACACCCCCAAGGCATGGTGGTTTCTTACCTCTGGTAGAGCACAACTTTGGGAAACAATCATTCGTTTATTTATAAACTGCTAGAGAACATTTACCACCACCGAGAGCATGGGTACCACTCCCTCATAAATAGGTTAAAAACTCTTTTATTTTCATTTTTAAAAAGCCATTCTTAAACGCTTTTAGCAACTTGAAATGAGCAAACTCAGGGACCACAGGCAGGAAGCAGCGTGCCGTCTTCCAAAGGGACCTTTGAACGGGGAGGTGGTCTGGAATTCCTTGAAAAATAAAATGTCATACTGGAGCTCACACCTATGTCCTGTGGGCTTTTTTTTTTTTTTGTCTTTCCCTCCATAACCCTGACTCCTGTCCCCCCCCACACACACCCCAATTTGGGAGCTGTTTCATGGAGATGAAAGCTGCACTTTTTTTTTTTTAAAGCTCAGCTGTTAAAGCTGAACACCATATGCAGCCCTTCCGTCCCCGCCGTGGGAGCATGT